TAATTAAACAATAAAAAATAAAATTAATTTTTAAAACGCAAATTTAATCATCGAATATTTGTGACCTAGGGTAAGAGAACTAAAGCAACATTTGAACGTCGAAACCAATCGACGCTCAGATCTGTCGCTCAACGATTTTGTTTTTCATGAGACACGACCCTAATAGTATTTTCAATACTAAAACGGCATTCATAACGGCTATGTACGTTTATAGAAATTCCAATGCTTTACTCCGAAAATGATCGCGCAGGACCAGTTTCGAATTGTAAATTGTTATGTTTTGTTTTTATCGTTAATCACGCTACTGAACTCAGTCCTTATTGTATCTAGTTTTCACCCTCAAAAGCTCCGCACTTATTCCTTTTACACCCTGTATTGACAAAGGATAAAACACCGTATCAAAAGGGTCTGTACTAGATGAATGCAGTAGCGAATTGAAGGATGACGATCACACTATTAAGTGGCTTTCGATGGGCTCTAATAAAAGCTAGTATTACAAAGCATTAAACGGTGTAGAAGTTACAAAAATTAAGATTAAACCCTTAATCTAATTACGAGAACACAGCAAAACTCAACTCAAATTGCCCAACAATTAATCCAAAATAAAAGAATTGATAGTGCGGAAGCGCATCTCCGTAGTCTTAGAATTATTACAAGAAACGGCGATGTGTATATCTAAAATCGGTTTCTTATACGTATTTACACATTATCATTATTATTGTTTTAACATTTTTTTATATTGCATCATCCTTAATATTAGTGAAAAAAATTAACCAAAACAAGGACAAACAATTAAAAAAAAATGTTTTTAATTTCATTGTGCACCCAAAATAAGCAGAAATATCAATACCAAACCAATAAAGTCAATTAGTTCGTTTAATTTAATTTGAATCATTTTTTTTACATTTTTCTTGAATTACTTCGTGTTAAGTTAAATATTATTACATAGTTTTAATTAGTATTGTATTATGAAATGTATGTATTATCAACAGCAGTAAACTAGATAACACCAATGAACTGCAACAAGGTCAACACCTAATAATGCTATACCGAGTCTTAAATTCCTTTTAACAGAATGTGCTTTCCCCAAAAAAAAGGATAGCTTTGTCTTTTATACCTATTCGGAGGCGATTCAATAAATCGAAAATAATGTCATGTCATTCGTTCATTCATCCAGAAATGTGATTTATTTGAAATACTTGTATTTAAAATGCAAATACAAAATAAAAAATACCTATTTTTATGTTGTAGTTAAATACTTTTCTGAAAAAAGCATTTTGTATTTTATTTGAAATACTTTTCCAAACGTAAAATGCAAAATACATTTTTGCCATTAAAAGTTTTGCTAGTACTACCGATCAAGGGAAGGTATTGGAAGGTTAAAAAGGGGACAGAGAGACATCCCATGAATACCTTCTAATTCTCTAGCTGAAGAGAGCCCAAAAAATTCTAAACTCCTTGGAAATGGATAATCTAAAATATTGGATTGATATTGTTTTCCGTGTTCAGTGTCATGATCCATGCAATTTTGAAGTTCCAAATTGATATCACCAAATCACCACTTATCCTACCTTTAGCAAGAAACCACCATGATTAGGCATGAGGATTTTATCAATAAGATCCGGTTAGAATCCGGAAATCCGTTTTTTTCAGGCAACAGCCGTGAAAATCTAAATCAACTTCTATATTGGAAACACAGTAACAATATGAGCTGACTACTGCGTATGAAAAATATATATCTATAAGTTTAGGAAAGAGCATTTCAGCCCCAACATATTATTTTATTTATTTTTGTAAATGGTTCCTGGTGTTAGGTACGCGATTTCTTGGGGCGGCATCATTATGCCGTACCCGCCCAGATCTTAAAAAAAGTGGTGGATGCGCCGGGTACTGGACCCAAACCGGATACCTGGCTCATCTGTAATGCGGAGTTTATATTGCTTACATCAAAATAAGGAAATTATTATTAATGAGCACTTTGCATCAACATCTTTTATTTGAAATTGTATATCTACATCAAAATATAATCATTTGTTATTGTTACCTGCTTCTTAATGATCGGAATGGTAAAATTCAATGAAATGAATCATATATCGGCGTACATACGTGATAATTATGTGTAGGTACTATAAGTGCATCATGTTACTTTAGATGTACCCCATATTAATATTAAACTACCAATATACGAGGGTGGATTGATAAGTTTCCGGCCTGACCAAGAAAAACAAGGTTTTTAAAAATTTTTTTTTTTTATTTCTCAACATAATCTCCTCCAAGGCTGATACATTTCTCATAGCGGTGTTCCAGTCTATTAATGCCATCTCTATAGACTGATTCGTCAAGCTCCTCAAAATAACCANAGATGACGTCCATTGATGATATTCGAATTGCTCAATTTATTGTCGTTGACAATCGGTTTGAAATCTTTCTCTCCGTTCAGGACCATTCTAAATTTGCTGTCACTGACTATTTTGTAGACAATGTGCCTATATTCGCCTTTATTTCTATCTTCGAGGATTTTTTCGAACATGTTTATAATAACCGGCGGTATTCTGGCTATATTAGCAGTTGTAGCAACATCTTCGTAGTATCCTTTCCGTAATTCTTTAAGCATCATCCCATGCGTGTGTTTCAACGGAATACCAAGTTTTCGTTTGTTTGCTATTTGTTTTTCGTAATCTTCGTACATCGCCGACTTCGACGGAAGAGGAAAATGACCGTTCAACGTGGAAACGAAGAAGCGAGCCTAAAACAAAGATTACAATGTAAAATTAATTTTGGTAAATCTATTGAGCTTCTTGAAATAAATAAATATTAAAGTTCAAAATTCTGTTTCTAACCAAAAAGCCATAAGGACTAAGAAGGATTAAAAATTAAAAGGAAGACTCACCCCTAATTACCACAAAAAACTTTATTTGAGCGAGACAGTCTCGCGTTGATAATGGCCACGTATGAAGTGGCCGAAACACGTGTCCGCAAAAATAAAGTTTTTTGTGGTAATTAGGGGTGAGTCTTCCTTTTAATTTTTAATTAATATTTATCACAGTCTCCTCTTTCTTACTTTGACTAAGAAGGAGTGTACTTATAAAAGAAATTTTCATACCTGCAAGTCGAACATCGCAATTACTGGAAGATTAAACTGGAGTCCAATGAAGCACATTGTGGGATGTTCTATATTGACAATTTCTTTATACAATGGTCGAACCCATTTGCTGCTGTCCACAACAATTCCACAGTCGTTCGTCAAAAACGGAAAACAATACTTGTAGCCTGAAACAAAAATATGAAGATTTAGCTTCGGATAAACATTTCTTAATTCTTGTCTTGGATTGATGAGTGTTTGTTAATTTTCACCCACCTGTGCAATAAATGATAACGTCCATCTCTTCGGCAGTACCATCTTCAAAGAAAACCTGACTTCCTTCTATCCTAGAAACGCATGGCTTTTCAATGAGATTTTGCGGCAAATTAGCAATCTTATTGTCCATTTTGTAACTCGCAAAAACCTGAAATAAATATTTTCTATTAAGATAGTTCTCCGTTTTGTAATAGTATCTTGAAGAAATAGTTTCAATTGAAAATATTTTATTTTGTGAACTGAAAGTATCACCTGCTTCTTTAAAAACTGTCCTAAAGTAACCGAACCGAATTTACCTATACCAACTAGAATTTTATAAAAGATGATGTCACTTTGATATTAGCTTGGTTGTCAAGTCGCCACTAGTGTATACATGATACTCGCGAATACATATATCAATATTCTTTTACATACTCAATACTTATCAAAGTTCTCTTAACTAAAAACTCACTTCCTCAAACAAAATACCAACAGATATATTTATTAAAAGGGTTCGGAAATATAACCAACTAATAAAGAAATTAACGTAATTAGCTGTCCTCTCGCGCCTTTCTCCATCGCCACCGTCGTCTTTCATACTGCGCATCCAGAATACCTCCCACGCCCCCCGGAGGCACGGGGCTCTCAGCTTTGCATAAAGCTTACATAACTTTCTGTTTTCATATATTAA